ACATCAAGAAAGATATGCAAAATACATTTATCATATTCATAGTAAGTTTTATGGTAGTAGTCTCCTACCTCACCCCAAAGAAATTCCAAGAAGCATGTGGATGTATGCAAAATATGCAGTGAGAGACACTTAAAACATAGAGAAAACGTTTAAATGAATTAAGTCTTAAAGGGTTTTCTTAGTTTTAAGGAATAGAAGCTGGTCTAGCACATCTAGCCATTGATAAACTATGAATACAAATATTGACCATCTTCTTATTTAATGGTAAATGGACTTGAGCTTATAAAGCGCTTTTCTAGTCTACACTGATGGTAGTGATCGCTATGTAGTATCATCCATCAGAAGTAACTAATCCCATTCATACACCGCCACCGAAGCAGCGGGAGCAATTCAGGGTTAAGTGTCTTGCCGAAGGACACATCGGACATGTTGCTCAGCTGGGGATCGAACCCTCGACCTTCCTGAGAGGCAACGACTCTACCAACTGAGCCACAGCCGCCCTTTAATAATTATATAATAATATAATAATTATAGTTTAATAATTATAAACTCTAAGTAATTGTGTCTGTCACTACCGGTTTTCAGCACTCAGTTATTTTTTGAATATATTAGTAGATGAACAGAATTATTGAGTGTATATCCAGCATAATTTTCATAATTGTTTTCTTACTGTCAGTGTGTATGTGATAAAATAAACATGCAGGAATAATCTTGTCGTACTTTGCCTCTGGTGCATTCTCTTTCCATCAGTTTCATCAGCCTCAAAAGATACCAGAGAATAACCTCTCAGGTTTTTATTTACCTCTGTTTTGTCAGTATGTCAGCATACCAAAAACAGAAACTGAAGGAGGAAAATAAGGCCAGCTTGGAGCAGCGCAGGAATCGGCTCAGGGCAATGCTTAAAGAGGAGCAGGACCAGTTGGAGTTGGAGCTCAGAGAAATGGTGCCTGACAGGGGAAAAGTGGTGAGCCAGTTGGTGCAAAAAACTGAAGAGCTTCGCACAGCAAGAGAGGAAAGAAGAAAAAAGGTTGTTGCATTGACTTAGACAGCACTTCCCTTTCAGCACTTCATCATAGTTTCTTCACTCTACCATCAATCTATAACATTTGTTCTCTCTCTATTTCATCCCTAGCTTGCACAGGAGCTTCTCAGGGAACACTGGAAGAAAAACAACTCAGAGCTGCGAGAGGTAGCTTATAAGTCACAACAGGTTGCCAGACCCAATGTTCTTTGGAATCTTGTGACCATGCTGTGCGTCTTTAGAGCTCTGCAAGTAGTGAAAATAGACACTTTTTGTCAAGTAATCCACTTGATCTTGAAACTAATAGGGCTTGTGATGTGGATATTCCATGACTTTCTGTTAACCTGAGAGAATTACATGTTCAGGTATCCCTTCAGCTAAGGCTCAAGTTCATCAGTATCTCAGTCTCGTCATTGTCACTACCTGCTCCTTTAATCTTTCCACAGGCCGAGTCTTCATTACATAAAGATCATGTTGTCAGCCAATGGCAAGGGCAGATATCTGAGAGGAAACAGGTAAGACATTCATCACAGCTGTCAGACCAAACAGTTCAGTTTTCATTTTTATTCATTTAATACATTCATAAGTGTTTATAACATTAGGAAATTATACTTTTGATATTTAGGTCCTTTATCATACTTTATTTAGATTTATTGGTGTACATTTTAAATTCAACCAAAATATGGAAGAACGGCTTCATACACTCAAGTGTCACCTCGGTCATTATCTGTTTACCTGATGTTTATTTACATTACAAATTAATTTTTAATGAAACAGTACTCATCTCTTCACACAGTATCAGGTATTAGATCAGCTCTCCACAATCACTTTAACACAGTGCATAATTGAGAACGTTTAGACACCAACTGTAAGTGACCCATGTCTCTTGATTGGGCAGCATGAAACAGCAGTTCAGGAGGAAAAGAGACGCTACGAAAACGAGTATGAGAGAACGCGAAAAGACGCTCTGGAGAGGATGAAGCAAGCAGAGGAAAAAAATAAAATACAGGAGCAGAAGAGAGTGGAAGATCTTAAGAAACAGATGGAAGAGCTGAAGCTCAGGGAAGAGGAGGTACAGTACCTTGTAATTTGACTTAGTGCATATCTTAAAATTGATATGGCAGATACATTTTTTTTTTTTTTTCCAGGCAACTCGTCTAAAGAAGGAACAAGAGGCCTTGCTGGTTCAGCAATGGGAGCTGGAGAAGATCGACAAGGAGAGGATGAAGGTGGAAGAAAGGCAGAAGAAGTCAGAGAGAGGGTAAGTGAAGCATTTATCCTGAAATGTGATGACGAGTGAGATGCTACTTCATTTCTTGGCTTTGTGTTTCAACAGGCGTTTCTTGATCCGTCAATACCGCGCTCAACTGAAGAGAAGAGCCCGACAAGTGCAAGAGGAACTGGTAAGTCTAGTATATCCTCTTCCATCATCCAACTTGCCTGTTTTTTCTTTTTTTGTGTGTGGTTTTTTATGCTTTTATTTAGAGGATAGGACAGTGTATAGAGTTGGAAATGGGATGACTGAGTTGGGACGGACATGCGGCAAAGTACCGATGGTCGGAGTCGAACCATGGCTGCCCACTTCAGGGACTATAACCTCTGTATATAGGGCACAATGTTAACGCTAGGCTCTCTTGGGGACCTCCAACTTGCCTGTTTTAACGCCTTACCTGATTTCTTCTGTTCCCACCAGGAGTCCGACCGGCAGATCCTGGCAGCCCTACTGGAAGGAGAGCAGGAGGACCTGAGGTTGGAGTCTGCACGGAGGGAAAGGGCCGTCGCTGACGCTGCATGGATGAAACGTGTGATTGAAGAGCAGCTTCAACTGGAGCAGGAGAGGGAGGCCGAGTTTGACATCCTACACAGGTCAGCACAGATATTCATCAAGCTGTGACTCTGTTGGAAGGAGAGTGTGGGGTCAAATCAAAACCAACACATCTCAACTTTTTTAGAGAGGAAGCCCAACAGGTGTGGGAGAAACGAGAAGCGCAGTGGGAGAAGGAGAGGAAAGCAAGAGAACGGCTCATGCAAGAGGTGAATTGGTTTCAAATCAAACTGAACTTTTTAAGAGTGTAATTCAAAAGATTTGATATTAAAGCAACAGCTCTTTTTTTTCTGCTTCTTGGAAAGGTGCTTGCGGAGAGACAGCAGCAGCTGGAGCTGAAGGTGCAGAAGAACCGGGAGGCTCAGGAGGAGTCCCTGAGAAGACGAGAGGAGCTGATTCAGGAGCTGGAGCAGGAGAGGGAAATCAAGCGGAGTGAGATGGAGCAGGAGGAGGGTCGCAAAACAGCACGGATGCAAGAGATAAACGCTCAGGTTAACACATAATGAAATAATTTTAGTTTTTATTGTGCATCATTGTTTTTGCCCACACACCAGGGCTAATCATTCTCTGAGTCTCTTAAGAATGATGCCACAATAGCAACTCACTTCTGAACATCTGAGACTGTGAAGTTGTGATTGTGTGTGTACTGTAGGTGGAGCAGCAGCGCTTCGAGCAGTTGGAGGAGCAGCTCAGGATAGAGCAAGAGGAGCAGGAGAAAAGGGAAGCTCTCCAGATCCAGGAGGGGGAGCTGAGGGATGAGATCCAGAGGATGGCCAACAGAGGGTACCAGGGGAAGGTATGAGATGGAAATCAATCTGCAGGAAGCTGATGATCCTGAAGGCTTTGTGTAGAAACATGTAAGAAAAAGCTCGTTAAAAATGTCTGAAAACTTTTTCTTTCCAGATTCACAACAGACCTCGATCAGCCTGGACCTGAGAAGCCTACAGGAAAATATTTTTTCTGCACGTTATTAGCCTTGAAGGCCTGTTTCAAATGTTTAAACAATACTCACATCCCTGCAGTCGACACTTCTCTCCTGGTTTGTTTCCTCGCTGAGCCACAGACGGACATTACAAAAGTAAGGACTTTCATACTGAAAAGATTATGACTCTGGAGGATTCCAGTTTAATAGAAGTCATTCAGACTTTTAAAGCCAAATAGAAACTTTGGGTACATTTACGAAGTGCTTTTATGCATCCAGCCCTCCATTTTTCACAGTAGGGTTGTGTAGAGGGATCTTTTCATAGCCAGTATGGAGAGGATGAACAGTCCAGGTCTTTAAATGCACATGTGAAAACATTTTTAAAAACTTTTTTTTAGATGTTGTCCTACCCTTCAAGCCTTTAAGGACTGGAGTATTAATGCTGAGGCCAAATGTTGTGCCATGTTTTTTGAATCATTTACGGCTGGTTGTTTGCATGTATAGAAAATATTGATAGAGTTTTTGCACTTTTAGAGTTGTATATTTTCTATCCTGAATTTGTAGACTATTTTAAATAAATCTAATAAAACAAATGAATTCACTATCATGTGTCAAGGCAACAAACAAAAACATGCAAAATACAACATTTGACAAAACCCAGACATTTGTTATAAATTACATTTATTTAGAAAATATTTATTTTTCAAAGTGCAACTTAACAGCTGCATCACATACATCCCTGCGCTCTTTTTCGAGCACAGAGAGGGACATTACCTTGATCAGATTTCAAAATGACGAACTCTGAAAACACTCTGAGGATGGAAGTGGGGTTGCACATTTTTACAGGAGACGTCTACAGTTCTATCCCATTTGTTGCACATCAAATACAAAATCAGCAGCAACAGAACATAGCACGAAACACATGGACTTGCACACAGTTATCGGCTCTGAATGACATCACCGGCACCGCAATGGCACACAACACCGCAGAATACAACCTCATGTGGAGCCTGATAGAGACACACCCAATCAATGAATACAGCATCTTGGCACTGGTGAAGATGATAACTTTGGCCCCCTGAACAAGTGTTGCATTCACTGACTCAACAAATGTGCATACATGAATAGCTGCAACAAGTGAACTGCAGACTGGATTACATTTGGACAGATGACAAACATATAAATAGCTTCTTGGATGCAGAAACATTAGGATTACAGAGCTACAACATGTGCATGGATTAAGTTCCCAACATTTAATAGAAGTTGGCATTAATGGTCAGTTTGGTTTTGGAGATTAAACTTCGCAGTATGAGGATGCTTGCACAATGATGTAAATGACAGGAAGATTCTTTGACTATAAGACTGTTGTATTGGCATTCAGTGAGTCAGTTATGGCTTTGCAGCATCCATGTCTGGCTTTGGACTGAATCAGTAACCAAAACTATCACGTGGATTTGCCGTACTGTGCTTAACTCCGTCTCTTGAATAAAGGTGTTTATTTACATTGTCCACTGATTAAGATTTAAACGACTTTAATTAACAGTAGTCTAGAAAACTATACACTTCCCATACCTGCTAGCTGCTGTATTTAGGTGTAACATTATTTGTGGAAGTTATAATGTTACCTCATGAGATATTGGGCTTTGAAATCAGCAGCACAGCAGAACTTTACTCTCTAAGTAAAGTTGCTGAACTTTTCCCTTACCCCCCCATATTTTGTCCAGATTCAGCTTTTAATATTTGTGTTAATCATTCATAAATTAAAAAACATGCATGCATATACCACAAATACAAAAAAACAAAACATCAGAATCATTAGAAATATTTAGAGAAGAACAAAACTGAGATGCCGACTGCTTTGCAGCCTCAAAGTGCTGTTAGTGTGTATTCTCCTTAGTGGTGATGGTCACAAGCTGCTTGGCTGCCTTGGCAATGTCATAAGCACATTGGATGACCTGCTGGGTGACCAGCTGCATGTCCGGTCCTGGGCAGCCTTCTGAGGGCAACGCCTTCCTGCACTCGCTCTGAAGCCGGTAAGCACTCGAGGTCAACAAGCGCAGAGAGCCTCTCACAGTCTCTGAACGTGGCTTCTGCAGAGGAAGGTTCAAATGTCTTAACACTTTTATGTCACTGCTGGACTACAGTGATGCATTATACATGCATGCATCTTCTCAAAGCTGACATGCTCTGGTCACTGTCTATCAAAGAGCTTTGAGTTTCACCATCACTGTTTGTTGGATGGTCTTCTTTGACCATATGTAGACTTAAACACTGGTGTATTGTATTCTGATATACAAATCTATCGTAGGTCTGCTTCCTTACTTCTGACCTATATCAGACAGAAGAGTACAAGAGGTTAAAATCTTCAGTGTCAGGATCTTTTCTTGCTGTCTGTTGTAAAGGTCAGAAGTAATTGAAGTTTACCGCTCCCTTTGTTTGGAACGAATTACAAAAAGAAAGATTGGATGCTTCTAGGCAGCTGTTAAATGGCTTGGAGGCAGACATATCTGGCTGTAGAATATTCTACCAATGATTGTAGTCAGTCTTGACAATTATTTTCTGTTTTATTTGTTATTTCATGTGTTCTTGTGTCTTGTGTTTTTTAAGTATGACTGCTAGTGGCTTGTCAGAAACTTGTGCTGCTGCCTGCCAGGACACTCTTAAAAATTAGATTTTTAATCTGAAATAGTTTTTTTTCTCCAGGTTAAATAAAATAAACACTGATAAATAAAGACTAGGTTTTTGCGAAGAGGCATTGCAGTGCAGATCTTTTAGAACAACGTGCCTCATTTTTGGCTAAGGCTACATTCGTCATGTCTACCGTACTGTTTTTTTATTTAACACACACAAGAATATGCATATTTACAACACTTAATGCATACACTTAGGAGCAATTCACTTGATTAAGATTAAAAAAAGGTAAATAATAACCTCAGTGATTACAAAAACATAAAGTGCTGGTGTATGTGGACTTTGAAAGTCAGGGAACTGGTTGGTAATATCTTCACAATAACACATGAGGTATTTATTATTTTGAGGATAACCGGCTGGCTGATTTGTTCTCTTAAAGCTTCAGTTATAAACATTTCCATACCTTAGGAAAGAGAGCAGCCATTTCTGTTACAGCCACATGTATTCTTTCTGAGCAGGGTATGAAGCTGTGAGGAGAAGAGAATGATCAGTTAGTTCAACATATCATGAATATATGACAACATCATAGCACATGTGTTTGAAAGTTAACCAGAAGCTTTTACATGCAAGTCATGTAAGGATAGTATTCACAGCACACCAACATCACATCGTCATCGGTAACTTAAGATGAACATGCTTTTTTACAGACACATTCGTGAGTAAAGGTTTTTTTTAATCTCTTAGCCCTTTTAGCGTCAAACAAATATACACACAGTAGAAGCATCAAAAATCTGTTTTATCAAATACACTGCACCTATGTTTATAAAAAGACAAGCCACGGCAGAGATGTAACCTCTGAAACACACTCAGAATGCATGCTTCTGGAGACAAATGTCATTGTCACAGGGAGAGAGAGAGACAGCATGTTAGCATGTGAGACAGGAAGAGAAAGGGTGATGCCAGAACTGTGTGAGGGAGAGGAAAATGAAACTGTGCCTGGGAGGCAGGGACAGAGGCCAGAGTACCAGGAGGAGGGGTCAGGGGACCGGAGGCTGAGCGGTTGAAGGGGAGGGGGGGCCTTCTCGGCCCAAGGCACCAGAGTGCTGAAACATCCCAGGCTGTGTCTGAGCCTGCGCACACCTTCACGCTCACATGGTCTGTGCGCGGTGGTGGTGGTGGTGGGGGGGGGGAGCGACGACACATCAAAACAACATCACAACAGTGGAGCAGAGAAGACGTAGAAAGGACAGGGAGGAAGATTTAAAATGATAAAACAAAGAGAGGAAATGGCAGGAGGTAAACACAGTTAAAAAGAACCGAATAATGATGAATGTAAGAGGAACTTAGGGCTTAAAATGGCAGAAAGGAAGTGACAGATTAAATACAGAAACTAAATATGATAAAGATCTTTTTCTCTCTTCAGACTCTGACCTGTCATGTTTGTTCTCCTGAGCTGCTCGCAGCAGCTCTTGGATATTCTTAGTGATCTGCTCGGTTTTGCGGATGACATCCTCTGTGCTCGGCAGTGTGGGGTCAGGCTCCATCTCTACATCCGCCAGCTCGGGGATGGAGCTGCCCTCTCCCATCCAGCCACTGCTCCTTAGCCTCGCTCTCCTGCACAAACTGCAGAGGGAAGTTTAGAACACATTTTCTCCACTGCCAAAAACCCACGCTTGTTTTTAGTCAAAACACAACGTCCATGCGGTTAAAAACATATTTAAACTGCATTTTCAGACGTCAGCCCTTACCTTGAATCCTCCATTTCAGAGTCATTGAACGTGTTATCATAGTCACTTTCAGGCATGCTGCTTTGTTTCTCTAACTTTGGAGCCTGGAACAAGAGATAATTAAAAAATACAAAACAATTAGTGATAATGTATCCCTAGAACACATTAGGAATAATCCAGAACCATCTGAGGGGAAAACACAATTTCAATGCTTCATTTGGAGTTCTTCAACAGAAGCATTTATCTGTATTAGAGCATTTCCTGTTTGCTGTGTGACAAACTGGAAAATAAACATTAGAGAGTGGTGCAGATGACTCTGATTGAATCAAGCCGTTAAGCTGCACGTTGTTCATTTAAAGCATTCATTAGAGGGTTAGTAAAGACATTATACACAGCTTAGATTGTTTATTCACATAAAGCTTGCCTTACATACTGCCTAGAAAAAACTTTCATCCTAGTTAAATTCTTTGTATGAACTCCTGCGGTAAGGACGCTTTAATGGATGATAAGATTAGCACTAATAATGTAGCAACACATGGCAAGAAATATTACATCAGACGCATTTCACAGACGCTTCACTCATCGTCTAAAGTAAAGGGGAGGAGCCTGTAGGGGGTCTTCATTTGAGGATAAGATGGCAATGTGAAGAAGAGTTCGTAACTTAAACAAATTCAACATAAACATTAACTGTACAAGAGAACAAGTTTGTTATCTAACTATCTTCACATCTCAGAGCGTATTTTCTGTAACGTGTGCAGATTACCTCTCAGACTCACAGATAAGTTTATGACAGGAAGTAGAGACAAGAATATGCACTCAAGCTCCTAACACACAACTGTCATTCCTTTTTAAAAAAAATTAAAATCTACTATAATTTATTTCCTGAAGCACAGAATGTAACACAGCACACACACGCCTGAGTCAGGGAAAGCGATTGGCACATAAGTTTGAATAAATCTTCTTTCTGCATTTGCAAGAGAATCCATTCTGTTACACTATAAAGAACTCCTGGATCAGTGTTTGGTTGTTACTGGAGAAGGTAAGAGCATGCTGTTGGAAGCTCACTGTGCAAAACAGCCAAGCATTTGTTAGAGGCAGGGTGGAAAGGTCTTCTCGTCTTTATACTGAAAGTATTTGAAAGTAAAGCATGATGATTTTTAACCACTCCAGATGTGGAAATATATATTGTCAAGCTAACTCACAGAACATCCTAATTATTCTTTGTTTGAGAAGTACCTTTTTTTTTTTTTTTTTTTCTTTAAATGGAAAAACTAGCAAACTTTTTGGTGGATCAAACTGTAAACATGGTCTGCTGCACAGGTTGCTGTAGCAAAAGAAAGAGTTAAAATTAGCAGGTGATGTATCTCAAGCACAACTTTCTGGACAACATTTGCCGGTGAGGCAAGGGTTATGCCTTTGCAAAACCAGTTCCAGTTGCTTAGCTGCACAATGAGAATACTGCTGATGAAGGCGGGTATCTGATGGTGGGGGCAGCTGGTGGAGGGGTGGCTCATGCAGCAGGGCATATGGAGGACAGACTGAGGTAAGGGATATGCTGCTTCCCACAAGATGTCGTCCGAGTGAGGATGTACTTAACCTTTTGAACACTTTCGTCCCTCGGCCAGGACAGGGTGGATGGAAATGAGGGGAGGGATGAGGATGTGGTCACAAAAGCGCCCCTTTCCTTCTAAAGACAGGGTTCAAATCACATTTAAAGTACACAGATGGGTTTTAATCAGAAAAAAAAAAAAAACTGTGGAACAAACTAAAAAGTGAGATAATTGTGATGATTGACTCTAAAGTCTCTTCAAGCTCGCCGTTGCATCGTCTAAAACAGTGCGGGTAAAGGAGTTGAAGGAAATCTCTGTGTTAACACTCACAGTCCAGGATGAAACAGTCTATTATTTTAGAGCGACACATCCATTCTCTGGGGACAACTTTGCTCTTTTTTTTTTTTTTTTAAACCGATCATTCCCCAACATGAAGTTCCTAGTTTGTGATTCCTCGTATTCTGAAGAATATAACTGAGTAAATCCATCCAAAACGAAGACTCAGAGTTTAATTCAACTCAATAAAATAGATTTGCATCAACAAGAAAACTCAAAACAGATGAGAAGATTAATCGAGTCTGAAAAAATGATCATGCATTACAAAGACACAGAGAGCTTGTAAGGTGGTTTTAATGCTTCATCAACATCAAACACAATACAAACCTTCAGAGTATATCAATGAGAGCATCTCCTAACATGTAACACTATGCCTGGTCTGACAGAAGAGTAGCACTCTTGTTAACAACAGAAATGTGTAGATGTGAATATCTGGCTGTGTAAGTGCTTTTGATGACTCTCTCTTGACGCAGCAGAGAGCTACCCAGTGGAAAATGAGGAAGGAGCAATAGTAAAGAGGAAGGTTTGCAGACAGGGTGAAGAACATAAAGGGAAAGTCATGGAAAGAAGGCAGGAGAAAGGGAAGGGCAGAGAAGAACAGGGAACAGGTCTTACTTACATGAGGTGGGAAGGGTTGCAGGTTGGGGAGGGCCTCCTCAGGGTAGGGATTTTCCCCTTTGGGGTGAAAGGGCTTCAGGCCTGAGCCAGTCTCATACATAGACATAGGCCGACTGGCCCGTGCAGACTGCCGGCGTTTCAGGGCTGAGGGGCTGGAGGGGTCGGGGTAGTCTGAACCGCTGGGGACCTGATAGATATTGGTAGTGACCTGCCGCCTGAGAGAGGTGTTCTCGCTTTTCAGAGATTGCAGCTGGAAGAGACGGGCAGCAACACACTAAGAGGAGCTCTCAGCAAAGCAAGATGTGTCCCCTGCATATCACAATTGATCAAATATATGAATAATTCCTTTGATAGTCTAATGCCACCATGCTAACATTTCATTTTGCCCATGTCAATTCTTTTCCTATTTTGAAGGGAATCTGTTGGTCTTAAAAAATGCAAAGCAAGTGGTAAGCAAGCAAAAGATTTTTGCAGCACAGATGCAACTTTAGCCGAGACAGAGTCAAAGGACAGATTGATTGACTAAAGAATAATAAGAAGATAAGACGCATCCTAGAATGAACAAAATCTCAAAGATTTTGTTTCAGATGCTAAAGTTTGGTAGCAGAAAAACTGACTTCATATTATGCAACTTCCTGCATTTAGAGCAAAGAAGGGTGAACTTTGAGTACTTTGTAGGACTAAGAAGTATTGTTCAGTAAATATGAGGAAACTACACTCACAATAATGTGAACCTGACCCATGATGAGATGCTTTTTGAAAAGACTACTACTACACGTCATGACAAATGTTCATGTTTCTTTGTTTCCCTTGTGTCCTAAAGTGGTGTTTTGTTGTCAAAGTAAAAGAGGATCTAAGTTACTGTAAGCTAACATCATTAAAGAACAGTGAGTTACGCTGCAGTGCTGTAGGGGGTTGTCAAAGTTTTCAAGACCTGAAATGAAAGCAATCTTAACACTAGAAATAAAAAGGACCTCAACAAAATGATTAAGAAAAAACAAAAACTGACATGCTTTAAAAAAATGTGTGGCCGAGATGAGCATCCTGAATAAATTGAAGCTCATGAAGTATAACGCTCTCTATGCATCAATCAGCAGTTTGTTGTTACAGAGTACATTATGACTAACAACTGAAAAGCTTTCTAACAACTGTGCCCACTTCACAAAATGTCAAACAAATAAAAAAAACATGAACCAAATCCTCCAAAAACAGTCTATTAAATAAACACAGTTTATGTGATGAAGCAAGGCACATACATTTAATGTTAGTCACAATCTACTACAAAGGAAATAAAACATGAAAAATTACTGTCATTACTTCATGCGTTATAAAAACAAACAATAAAAACATGCATGTTAGTAACATTAGGCCACTAGCTGGAACTTTTTTTTACTCAAAAAAGGAGACTAGACTATTACTGTTATTTGCCAGAGAAACAAACAAACAAAAGAAAAAAGAAAAGAAATAAAACATCTCCAGTTTCAAAATTAAACATGCCGGCCTAAACAGAGGGCGGACCAGCAGGGTGTCGCAGCAGCCTTATCTCACTACAGAGCATTCCTGTTCACATAGCTCGGCCTCCACTCCAGAGAGCGATCGCACTCGTCATGAGAAGAGCTCTGCTGACCACTGTGGCCCCCCCTCGGTCCGGCCCCCGGGGTTAGTGATCGTATTGGTGGGGGGCGGTGGATACCTTTTTCTGCATTAGCCGCAGCTCATCGCTCAGGTTATTGTTGGCTTTCATCAGGTGCTGGATCTTTGCTTCAGAGGCTGAGAGTGCGTTCTTCACCTCCAAGTACTCCTGCATGGTAATGGGGCTGTCTGAGAGGTCAGAGTCCAGACTCTGTCAGAGGGAGAGGGGTTTAAGATGGAAACACGGTTAAGTCATCTGCAGAGGGGCCGTGTCTGTCGGGGCTTTCTAACTGGGAAAGTGACTGGGTGATACCTTGGTCCTGTCTCCTTTACTGGAGGGGAGCTCTTGATCTGTATCCTCATCAGACGCCACACTATCGTAGTCCGGCTGGTCGTTGTCTTGACTGTCACTGCAGCGCCTCACAGCCATGCTCTTCAGGATGAATTCAACATTGTCTGGAAAGCAGATGTACAAAAAGGGATTGTGTAACTGCGCTACTCTGAAGTGCCAGTCAGATCTTTTGGTAAAGTGAACAAAAAGCTGCTGACCTTTGGGGCTAGAAATCATGTTCCCTTGTTGTCTGCGCTTAGCATCACTTAGAATATCAATGACAAGAGTTGCAAATTCATGTGCGTTGAATCTTGCAAGCTTCTGTCGCCCCTAAGTAAGAAAAGTAGAGTGACACTATGAAATATGACTCGAAGATACAATAAAGCAGTTCTAAATGGGAGTCGTGTAAATCTGACTTGCCTGGTTTCTTGTTGATGAGTATTCTGGATTTACCGGAAGGAAAGGCACCACAGTGGTCTCTGTCACCAGGGTGCTGTGATTCTGTGTAGCCAGCCACACTTCAAACAATTCAGAGAATAAACAGAAGTCCAGTTTAGAGATGTAAGTATAGCGGCAACACCAGTGAAGGTTTCAATGTGTCAGGGTGAGGAAAGGCAACATCACATGTCTTTTCAACACGACTTTTATTTTTACCTGCATCAGTCTCTCGTCTGTCCACCTCATCGTACACGTCCATGGCCAGCTCCTCGAATAAATGATTACTTAGCTGCATGAAAATGAGAAAATGTAACTTACTCAGACTTAATTAAAGGGGGCAAAAGGCTCAGCAGAGACTCTAGAAAATACACTTACAGCCTGCAGTTTCTTCTTTGCTGCCTTGGCCAGTTCTGACAAATCTAAACTGCTACACACAGAAAATAACTTTCATCAAACACAATGTAAATTAAGAGGGAAGTGAAAGTGATGCACACCTCATTCTGTGTCATACTTACGTGTTCCTTATCCATCAAAAGACAGCAGTAAAAAAAATAAAAAAAAGGATCATTTTTAACACAGTGTTTGTTTTATAACAGCTGTTCTGCTTTTATGGAATATCACTTGTACTCAAATACAGAGGGTTGTTTCTGTCTGTAAGCTGCTTCTTGGTATCTGTTTCCTCACACAGATAATAGACATTGCAGCCATCCAACAGCATGTTTGAACAGGCCCTCAGAGCAGAAATACAACCTTACACAACTGCCTCCCTCGGCTCACTGTGTCTTCAGGTTAAACCCTTCCACTTAACACGATCACTTTTTATTGATGAACAGTTTTTTTCTTTAAGTGTATCTCACCTGTCAGCCATCTGTGGAACAATGAAGTGCTGACCGCTTTTATGATCTGAAAGAAACGGCAAGAATATTCTGGATGATTACCAACAACATTATCAATACTTATGGGGGGAGTAAACACTTTGTATTAAGAATGAAGCAGGACGTATTACCCAATCAATGCTCACAAAGAAAATGAAATGCCACACATCATTGATTTTATTGGTTTATGGTGCCACAGGGGTGAAAACTTGTATTTTGCTCTAACCACACTTAGTACATCTCTCTCTCTCTCTCTCTCTCTCTCTCTCTACATACCTGGCTTCCTCCCACACAGATAGAATGCCAGTCTATCAGTCAGTTCATACTGGACCTCCACCAGTCTGTCTGCCAGGTCATGGTGGCCAGCTTCCCTGCAAAGATGCAGGTTGAGAGAGCTCAATTTAAAGCCACAAAAGGGAGAAAAGAATAGCCCATAGTTTTTTGTTGGTTGAATCATAAAAGATGATAGAAAATATCTTACCTTGCATAGTCAATGGGAGTTTTGCCGTTGCTGTCCGGGGCTCCAGGATCTGCCCCATAAACAGTCAATAGTTCAGCCTGAGATACTTGTCCTGCCTTTGCTGCTACATGTAATGGAGTGTTTCCTTTTTCCTACAGAAGAAGTTGATAAAAACAACAACGAATTATGATCTTAAATCGTGAAGGGTAAATATGAAGATGACCATTCTGCTTGACAAGTGAGTGAATCTTACAGGGTGAAAAAAATTAGCTTGTGCTCCTAGGGATAGCAATCTTAAACACGTCTCGAGGTTCCCAGTGCGTACGCTCGAGTGAAGTTGCTGTAAAGGAAAAAAAACAGTAACTACAAACTGATAAAGCTTAACAATTCAACTTTAAGGAAGAAATGGCTTCTGTCTTCTCCTCACCTTGCTTAAATCCTTCGCGGTGGAGCTGTCATCCTCCCTGCAGGGCATGCGATGGACAAATGCCAGCATCTGATATTTGGCTCTTATAAACTCTGACTTGTTTGGACTTTCGGACCGACATGATAAATCAAGGTTCGAACAAAGACACAGAGGCAATTTAATGAGTCAGTGGAAGATCAAAATTCAAGTTTCATGTTTATCAAAATGAGTCCCTGTGAGTAAAAAAGTGCTCTGTCATTATTGTAAGACAGTTATAACTCACTGCAGTTTGTCCTGAGGGTTGGCTTTGCGTTTCCCACTCATCACAGACGCAGGGTCCAGAAGAGAGTGCTCCCATATTGAATTTGCGCCGTTGCTGTATAATGTCTGAACCATCTGGGGGCAAAAATGACAAAGAAACCTGTAATATGTGTCTCTCACTCTGTAAATTGCTGACCGTCTGTTAACAGTTCTCCCTGAACACACTTTCTATACTTAGACTAAATCGATACGGCTCGGTGGGCTCTGATGTGAAACTGTTGACAATAGATCCATCTTGATGAGGACAGAGCCCTGCTGTATTTAAAACTGTAGTTATACTAATAGCAGGAATAATGGGATTTATAGGCAAAACAGATGACAATTTTACAATGGAGTATGAAGATTATGAGCTTCACACAGGGGAATGTAAATTGTTCGATGTTCCTGTAGGAGCTGCTACCTGTAACTGTGTAGTCGGCCATGGTGTGTGTGTCAGGTGGCGGACTTGGGAGCTGTGTCTGCCCAGACTCCGATGAACACTGCAACACTCGTCACAAATCAATACGCCTCTGTTCACCGAGGCCCAGCGAGGCTCTGAGAGAGAAACCATGAAATGAAAATCAGTACATCTGCAGAGATTTTGTTGATTAATCACAAACGATTACAGACATAGTAACAGGAAGAAATACGATTTTTGGTCCATATTGCCAAGCCCTAGCACTTGATGTAGGAGACAGTAGATGTTCTAGACAATGACTAATGAAACAATCAAACACACTTTCTGCAGCAAAATCCAGATACAACACATTTCTGTGCCACATAGCTCCACCATTGTCAAATAAATATCTGAGCCACATGGTCATACATTGGGTTACTTATTGAAGTTCATTTTGATCTCGACACCAGATGGAGGTGAAGCAAAGCAGAGTATAAAAAGGAAGTGCAGTCTAGCAGCTGAAGGTCATAGCACCTCATACTTATCGTTTAAAAAAAGAGCAGCTTCCTCTTTTCATAACGAACATTTAACTTGCCAAACACACATCAAGAATTTCAGTGCCGTATATTGTGTTAATGCATGTTAAATACTGGTCACGTGAATGATACAGTATATAATGTGACTGAAATGTTTATTTAACTTTAAACTATTTCACACACTTCAGCTGAAACAAATGTTGCATTGCTCAGCTGCCTCACCGAGACTCTTCTGACAACAAAGACCTGGAATACTGTAAATTCATACGCCACTGTGGCAGCCAATAAGCTGTTGAGCAGATTGAGAGGCTGCTGGCTCTGTGACAGGACAGACAGTGAGGACTGTAAAGTGTTTAAGGAGCAGCTGAGCTGAAGGAGAAACAGCTGATGGGGTTGCTGGTCCAATTCTGGCACTGGGTCCTTCATTTCCAGAGTCACCCTCTTAGACATACTCTTCACCGAGAGCTGAGAGATAGCGCTGACAGACCTGTTTTACCCTTTCCTCAACAAGTGCTGCTAAATTTAATACCACATCCTGAAACTAAAAATATTCACACCCAACAACTGGTAGCAGTTGTATGGGGGCAATCTAGGCCAGCTGTTGTGGAGACCTGGGGGCTTTAACCAGCTTGAATGACATGATGAGAAACAAGGTGCCATTACTGAATATTTGACATTCTTTACATTGTTTTTCGGGGTTTTGGCTGCAAAAATAGATTGTCAAAAATGTATTTCTAAAAACATTTTTAATTCTGTATTTCACCATACATCTTTTGCAATATATTTTGTGGCAACAAAAGAAGAAAAAAAAAATCTCTTTAGCATTGAAAGTATGCAGCCAATTCACTCAGCATCCTGTTTTGCTTCCTTCCTGTGCCTGCTGAAAAACACCACGTCATTTCTATATAAACTGTAACTTCTAAAAGCACCTTAGACACAACAGAAAAGTTAACACTGTCCTTACTTAGCAGCGTGTTTCTCTCATCCATGCTGCTCCCTAAAAGTTATCATATATACTCACAGGATGCTGGAATTTCTCTAGTGTGAAATAAAGAAAGCAGGACGTGGTGGTCTTCACTATCCATCTATAGAAAGTGGCTTATCTTCACATGACCACAACCAATTCTGTTATCATTAAAGCGTGTTGACAGATCTATATATTATATTTCATGATGGTTGACTACATTTAACATTGCCAACAAACTACTGCATATTAAAGAAATGATTTCAAGTACACATATTGTTAGTTACCTGGGTTAACCTGCATGAACAAATGTGACACATATGATACATGCCTGTCTGATTATTTAAAGCAAGTAGCACCGGATGGAAACAGTTAATAGGACAGCTGCTGCAGCTCTAATTGCATCTCCAGCCCGGGGACCTGCCAGCAACAACTTGCCTGTCAAAACAACAGTATACCCTGCATATTTACTGCACAGAATAAAGCAAGCATGGCCCAGCGCCGGTAATCTGACTTACGCAAAAAAAAAAAAAAAAAAGGAGAGACGCGCAAAGCTTTCGAAAACTGATCCTTGAACTAAACACTGCTGAAAAAAAAAAAGAGAAAGCCTCATAACACTTCAGAGATGGTCTGAATCAGCTTACCTGGGACACTGCAGTCAGCGCAGAGCTCAGTGTTTCGCAGGCGTTTGGACATCCTCTTCTCGGAAATAATCGTCTTTTACAATGAACAGACTGTTATGTCCCCCTGCGTTATGCTAACCATTGATACCTCTGTAGGATTTGCCTTCCGCATTAGCAAGATCTGGCTAATTAAAACATCCCAAACAACGACCTGCTGCCTCCCGTGACTGCTGCTGGCCTTCCCGTTTTCGCTACCCTTTGCGTTTCAACCATTATAACACCTCCCACAGGTGTTAAGAGACAATGCTGCTTTACTGCAAGTTAGCGGACTTAGCACCTGATTAGCTACATAGCCTGTGTCAGTCTGGTGGTTCACTCTTCAGTCTGTGGTCGACAGCAGACTAAACAGAGCTCGAGCAATCCCAGTGGCAGCTGCGACCGTGACCTACGTTTTGTACCGTTCACTTTGCCCACACTTTAGCCTTACAGGAAGTCAACTGTACTCCCAATGCTTAGAACTAGCACAGTTTGGTCTCTTGGTTTGAATGAACGTGTGCAAATAATTTCCCCTGGTTTCGCAGCTAAATATGTAAGACTAAATACTTAACACAAAATGAAGAGTTTGGCAGCGTTTACTGTGGGTTAGGTCGGTAAAACACCTTAGAGGCTAAAATGAGGGTTTATAATGAAAATGTAAAGGCGGCGGATGAGGTGAGCTTGATCTGGGCACCTTCGTGACACGGTCATAGACTGTAAGGACAAGGTACAAGAAGGGTGCGTTTTTATAAGTGAATATGGGAAGATTCCTTCTGAACTGTCTCTCACCAGAGGTCACCTCTGAAATATAGGCATCACTACTTTTCCTTTTCACAAATAAACGAGTAAAAAGTAGATACTGTTCGCAACTGAGGTCGTCATTAAGACAGCGTGGGTCACCTCACCATTGATTAGGTAGCGTATATAATTGTTTATGGTCAAGATAGATACATATATTCAAACAGCCGACTTAAACCTTTCACATTATCCCATGGGATGTATATACCTGTATTTCAACACCACAAGGTACCGTCATGTGCACCTCTTGTGCACAGTAAGCTGGCGGTAAAGCTTCACATGTTCAACCTCCCGTCCCTGCACGAAACGTCAACACGTCGACGTCATGTTGACGGTATTTGCATAACAGTCAGTTTAATTTTACTGAAAACAACCCCTGAAGCTTGTTCGTTGATTCAACCTCTACTTAATTACGTAGCTATTGTATTTTTCAACGTAATATGTAATGCATAAAATCGCTTTTACAGAATTTTACATTTCAAGCAACCCCCCCGTGCAGTCGAGTCAAATGGTTCAGTCCAACTGGGACAGACCATTTCCTCCCTGTAGCGCTAAGCTTTTTTATTTTTTATTAACTGTATATCTGTCACTCGCCATCTGAGGTATGATCAACGCACGGAAATGACTTCTGTATATTAATTGACTTTTTTTATTGAATGGTGTTCATTAGGTTTTTTTTAGTGAATTTATAAACAGGTCACCCCTGTTGTTGTTATTGGGCACGGTTCCTGGCACTTCCTTGTTCAAAAGTTTTATTTTAGGGGAAGGCTTGGGGGGGGGGAGAAAAGTTGAACGCCGGGGTTGTATGTGTTGACGTTGTTGGTGGCAACTATTAAGTGCACGGACGTTGTTCATCGTGTATTTTGGGGGCACAACTAGCGTGTAGGTCTCGCAGTTTTGTCCCATGGCTGTGACAAGTGGAAGCTAGCTAAAACGCTGCCGCTGAGCGCCTTCACAAAGAGGAAGAATGTCCACGGCTAATGTCAGCGGAGACATCCGAGTGAAGTTCCCCTGCACTCCGCGGTGTGGGAGAACGACTACAGGACGCTGCAGGAACAAATCACGTCACAACAGGTCGGTTTTTAAAAAACACACACACAGGATAACATCGTAAAAACCTTTGACTTTAACGCGTGCTAGCTGGATGAAGCCGGGAGCTGTGCAGTCTTTGAGTAGGCCAGTCGTGTTGACAGGAGCCTCACTCAGTTTAGAAATAGATTTGTAGATAATCAACAGGTTTTTCTAGTAAATAAATACGCTGAAGGAGAGATTTAATGTTTTCAATCAGTGGATTACCGCTTAAATCTGACATTGTAGCTTTACTAAATGTTAGTATGATATGTTGTAAATTGCAATGTGTCATGTGAATGATTTATATCAGTGGTCCTGTAGAGCCAGTCCTCCAACATGCACCTGACTTACAAATACACTGTGTTGTAATGCTTTTTTTAAACAAACGCATCAACCATTACACTGTTGGTTAACCTCAGGGTAACTCCTCACTGTTTACACTGTGTGTTGTTGCTGTATTATTATGATCTGGTTCAGGGGATGGGGCAACTTCGCTGACAGCAAGGGGCCACATTCATTTAATTCTCACTTGCCAGAGGGGCCAAATTAAACGATTACAGTCGATTATGTCTCAAATTTAACTCAACATATACCAGTGATCAGATATTGTTATGGACACATTTCTGAGTTTCATGAGTTCATGGCAGATTTCATCATGTTTTTCTTCATGTTTCCGATTAATTGATGTGTACCTGAGGGCCACGTTGAGGGTTGATGGGGGGGGGGGGGGGGCAGTTGCAGTTGCCCACCCCTGATCTAGTTATTATTTTGACCTAACAATGTTCATTAATAACACGCTTACGTCGACTTAAGTCAAGAACGACTCACGCAAGGACAGGACATCATTTTAGTCTAACCGTCCTGTATACTTATCATGGGTGACTTAACCTTATGACTATGACTGATAATGTTGTCTCTGCATGATTACGTCCTTCGGGTGTCTTTATTATATTAGTCAAACAAAAGAAACACAATTCTGTCTTTCTTCTTGATTTGTTAGAATGACATAGAGACTGTGGATCCCAGAGGTCGCACTCCTCTGCACCTGGCTGTGTCGCTGGGACACCTGGAGTCAGTGAGGGTCCTTCTTAGACATGGTGCTCAAGTGACTAAAGAAAACTCCACCAGTTGGACAGGTAAGTTAAATAAATTGATAAATAGCAGACACAGAGTGCCACAATTTCATGTAGGTCTCTTTCACTTGTATAGCAGATGTGCTTTTAAGGGTTTGTGGGTTGTTTGATCACTTAGAGACCCTCTTATATCCTCTACTGTTAATGGGGCTTATGGTGAAAATGCAAGCTGAATCCTCTGACTGCAGTATAACAGTTTCACTTTTCCTCTGTCATTACCGTCACTGTTGAGGTTTTGTAATAGATAGTTGCCACTTCAGGGAAACAAATGCTGTTACCTTAAAAGGTTTAGTGGTTTGTTTATAATCGTCTGTGCAGTGCTGCAGGAGGCCGTCAGCACAGGAGATCCAGAGATGGTTCAGTTGGTGCTTCAACGCAGAGACTACCTCAAAGCCTCCACTGCTTTGGGAGGAGTGCCTGAGTTGCTGTCAAAGATTCGAGAGGTTTTGATTCCCAAATTCAGCCATTATGTTGTTATCCATCTGCACATGTACCAGGAAATATTATCCAACAAAGGAATTAATAGCTATTTCCATTTACAGTCTCCAGACTTCTATATGGAAATGAAGTGGGAATTCACCAGTTGGAGTAAGTTCTCTCTCTCTCTCTGTGTGTGTGTGTGTGTGTGTGTGTGTGTGTGTGTGTGTGTGTGTGTGTGTGTGTGTGTGTGTGTGTGTGTGTGTGTGTGTGTGTGTGTGTGTGTGTGTGTGTGTGTGTGTGTGTGTGTGTGTGTGTGTGTGTGTGTGTGTGTGTGTGTGTGTGTGTGTGTGTGTGTGTGTGTGTGTGTGTGTGTGTGTGTTGGGGGGGGTCATTATTTTGTGTGTGCATGATAACCTGTTCATGTTGCCGGGAATGGCTTTCAGGAAATGAGTATGCAAAAGCAGAAGTTATCTACTTTCTAAGTGTTATTTTCCAGCTGTTCCCTGCAACAGAAAATGAAACTAAATGCATGATTGTAACAAGCCAAGAGGTTGAATCAGGTCATTCAGGAAAAACTGCATACCTGCCTCTTGCTAGATGAAGCTTTTTATTTTAGTATAGTCATGAGTCACACTTTTTTTTCCATGTGCGCATGTTTTTCTTTCCACAATGGGACATTCATGTGCTGTTACTTCACAGTCCCTCTTCTGTCCCGGGTTTGTCCAAGTGATGTTTGTCGCATTTGGAAAAGTGGCGCCAGCCTGCGAGTGGATGCCACTCTTCTTGGCTTTGAAAACATGACGTGGATCAGAGGGCGTCGGAGCTACATCTTTAGAGGAGATGGTGTGTGTTTCAACTCTCTTACATACAACAAACACTCACAGTTCTCTCTATGAATTCATATTTCTGGAAGACGTGAACTAAGTTGATCCCTGACTGTATGTGACAGATTCCCATGCAGAGTTGATGGAGGTTAACCATGACGATGAAGTAGTAGACACAGAACGCTTCAACATATCTCAAGAAATGGAGGATGTTACACTAGAATCCATGCAGCCAGCTGAACAAGAAGTTGCCAAAAGGCTGACTACTCCAATTGTCAACACCTACCTGGACACCAAGGATATCGCTTTTGAGAGGCAAGAGTCACATTTTTTTTTTTTATCTCAGGACACACATGGATCTTACTCCCCGTTCTGACCGCTGTACGATATGTCCAGTGTCATTCTAGTATCACAGTTCAATGTTAACCTTTGAATGAGCAAGTTGTGTAACAAACCAACAACTTCCATTTTATATTGATGTCAATAATGTGAATGAGTTGTGTTCAAGGTAATATGTGATCATGATCTTATCACCATCATCTCTATCTGGATAACATAAACATATGTGACAGACAACTGCGGACAGTAGTACACATTTTAAATGTCAGACAAAGGTGTGATTCATATTTGAGATGACTTCATTGTAAGTGTTCAGTTTGGCAGCCGTGATATTCTGCTGAGCTCAACTGCACATCTTACAGGGACCAGGTCTGGGCATTATTGTAAAGGTCTCAGCGTTTTCTGTACTGAAAGATATTCATATTTATCACATTTAAAACATGAAAATTCACCTTGTTTAAGTATCCTGAGGATGATGTGTGGTAATAAGCTGTTGAAGTTTTTAATGTGGTATGGATAATTTGATAAAATGTGTTTTTGATGTTCTTCAGGTGACAGGATGTTTCCTCTTTTTATTGAGTGTACACCCTGGTGTGTACACCACTTGCAAGTAAAAGCTGCTCTCTAATTGGCCACTTTACTTTTATCATCTGATATATTCGAAAACATGTTCAAAGTTTATCATCCGTATCTCAGAGAAATTTCTGTTAATCAACATAATCAAGAATATTAAACCACCCATCCCAAAACGGTCTCACAACAAACTGATGTCGCTGTAGCTGATGAGAGAAAATCTTTCTTGTTCAACCTCTGAAATACAGAATTGAGTCTTTGTGGAACATGTCTTTAAAAATACAACTCAACAATGGAATGAAACACTGCCAGTGTATCTTAAAGAGGAAATCAGTCCCATGTTGTGCACATAATCTAAATAGATATGATGGTGGATTTTCTTTTAATGATGTCTTTTGATCTCACAGGAACAAGTCTGGG